AACACTTAGTAAGGCTTTTCGCAATCTTCTTAGAAATACTCTCAGAGAAAAGCGCTTTCCTTAGAACCTCAAACTTTCTCTTAAAATTCTTGTTTTATATTATTAGAAACATTTCTTACCGTTTTTTAGTAATCTTCTTCGAAGACCATGTAAGTCCATTTTAAACACTTTCCTAAAAAGCCTTTTTGGACGTCTTCCTATAGGAATTTGATAGGGTTTAGAAACCTTTTAATAAACTTTTAGGAAATTTCTTAGAAATGATTTTCGCAATATTCTTAGAAACGTTGTCGGGCTCTTGGTTTTGGTTACCTTTATCTACAACCGATAACATTCTCGTAAACCTCACATTCCCAGAGTTTTTTTTAGAAATCTTGAAGTTTCAATTTTAAAATCTTCCCAGAGAAGATCCTTTCAGCAAATTTAATAGGAATTTTCTTAAAAAGCGCCCAAACCGGAACTTAAATTCTACAGCAATACCTTTGGACATCTTGACGTCCTTCGTGCATCAAACATTCCTCACGGGCAACCCCAAAGCGTGCCCTTTGCGTTCCAGCGTAACGTGCTAAAATTCCGCGAAAAGTAGATTGTCGTGGCCTCACTTGCATCACATTTCGCTGCTTCCTGTTCCTCGGGCTCATTCTGTCCCGCGTGTGGGCCAGCCGATTTATGAGCACCACCGTCGGTTTTCCTCGTGGTAGTTTTCGTATCCGATATAATAAGTAGTTTATTCTGTTCACGACTATATATGGTCCTTCGCAAGCTCTTTGTAACTTCGGAGATAGACCGCGTCTGCTTTGGGGGATGATACACCCAAACCAGATCTCCAGGTTGATAACCACTAGCTTGAACCTTCACGTCGTACTTCACTTCCATTCTGGCGGTAGACGAGAAACTTCTAATCATATAGATACTTATGGAAATATTCGATTGACTTGATGACTAACTGATGCTAACAGTTCTTCGGGTAACACAGATTACGTTCCGTTTTTTACTAAAATATCCAATGACTCTCTGGGGCCCCTTCTGGATTTAGAATAGTACAGCACCCATTCCAACATTACGAGTGTCTTAAGACAAACGCCCCTTCTCTTCTTGGATAGCTGAGCACCGGAGCCGTAACTAAAGCTTGTTTGAGATCTTTAAATCCGCTTACATCCATCGTCCCATTTGAAATCTCTGTGTTCCTCTGTTAACATGGTAAATGGCTTTGCAATACCGATAAATCCATGAACAAATCGCCGGTAGTACTTGCATAGACCCAAGAGATCTCTTGAAATATCAATCTTGAATCTTTTCATTTCAATCTTTTAGACATCGAATTCAAAATCCTGGTTG